CAGCCTGTCTTCATAGCAGAGGTGCTCCAGCCCTCGCATCATCTCCGTGGCCCTGCCCTGGACAACAGCTCCAACAGCTCCATGTCCTTCTTGTGTTGGGGACCCCAGAGCTGAACACAGCACTCCAGCGCTTGGGTAGTTCATCCTGAAACAGATTTGGGAAAGAAGCATCCCCATCTTGCACTTTGTGATGGGCAACATCTACACCCTCCTCCCAGCCCCTCTTCAATCCTGCCTTTTACAGCACACAAACAAAGCAGATTTATAAAGGTGCCTTCAACTTGTTTCTTTATGGACCGGATCAAAACAAGCCATAGGTGAGAAAAGCAAGCTCAGAGTGCAGAACCATGGGATAATTCGGGTGGGAAGGGCGTTCTGGGGGTCTGTAGTCTGATGCTCTGTTGAAGCAGGGTCAGCACATGGGCTGCACTGCTGCTGGCTCGACAGCGTTTCCAGGAGCTACACTATTCTCTGTACGAAAACCTGCAGATTTGGCACAGAGGAGAAGCCTCCTGACCCAGGTGAGGTGAAAGATTACAACCCAGGACAACTGTGTCCTCCCTGGTAACTCCTGAAACTTCTATCACAGCCAGGACTCTGCCACGCCAGGTGCTGTAAACAGCAGTGGTTGCGAGTCCCCTTGGGCAAGGAATTTCCAGTCTTGGTTTAAGACAAGATTTAAGAGTAAGATAAACACAGTCCTGACCATTTTTATACTTTTTTCCTGTTTTGTATAATAAAATAGCTAACAAAAATTGAACTTGTCACCCTTGTCCCAGTGAACAAATAACCAGGCCTGACCCACAGCTTCGCTCCGTGCACCGTGAAGAACCCTTAGATGGGAGGAGGAGGGCCAGGCATGGCAAAGCCCAGACACCCATCAGTGTGGTGGGTTTTGTCTGCAGGGTGACATTGGGAACCGAATGCCCTCAGTCTGGAGAGAGGGGTCTTTGGGACTGTGGGTGCCTGGGGATGAGGTTCTGCTGTGTGCATCAGCATGATAAATCATAGAATCATAGAATCATGGAATGGTTTGGGTGGGAAGGGACCTCACAGATCATCCAGTTCCAACCCCCCTGCCATGGGCAGGGACACCTTCCACTACACCAGGTTGCCCAAAGCCTCATCCAACCTGGCCTTGAACACTTCCAGGGATGGGGCAGCCACAGCTTCTCTGGGCAACCTGTGCCAGTGCCTCAGCACCCTCAGAGGGAAGAATTTCTTCCTTAGATCCCATGGAAATCTCCCCTCTTTCAATTTAAATCCATCGCCCCGTGTCCGTTTCCCTTCACAGACCCCGTGCATGCACTGGCAGGGAGTGCACATGAGAGAGCACTGCAGAGTTAAGAAAACTCTGCCTGCAACAGCCTTTGGGAACAAAAAATAACAGGCACAGGCGGATGGCATTGCGTTCGACAGCACGAGCTCCCCTGCCCCCCCACCCTTCCCCAGCACAGAGACACGGAGACTCTGCAGACGTGGTGCAGGGAGGCATTTATTTGGTGGTTACAGCCTGTCACCACCCAAAGGGCATCTCCTTGTGCTCAGAGGTGCCCGTGGCGGAGCAGGAACTCTTCCTCGCATGGCCGGTCCCGGGATGCTCAGTGGTACTTGCGGGCCAGAGCATGAGCCACGACACCGACCAGCTTCTGCCAGGCAAACTGGCAAGCGGGAGTGAAATCCCTGGCGAAGTG